CTGAGGAAGGCGAAGTCGCCGAAACGTCAACCATCGTTCAATAACATCAAAAACAACGACAACGACAACGACAACGAAGATCTGTACCAACCTCGCGTCAGCTTAAGAAGATCAGTTTATAAGTCCTAAAACTGTTTTTACAACGATCGACGTCAACTGTCGATGTGGGTCCACATGATCTTATTCGTCACGAAGACTTATGTCTTCGGTAGAAAACCTTAAAACCTATCACTGCAATGAGCGTTCGGAATCTATCCCATGTTTTCATGAGGTTCCCAACTACTATGGTTACTTCATGTCTATTCTAGTCCAAATTGGAACTGAAGGAAAGCAGCCCGATTGCAATTTGCTGACGGCATCATTGCAGCCAAACAAAAACCACTGCAATTCAAGTGCTAAGCAATACATGCATTAAGTTGAACAAGAAGTAGCTATAAAATAGAACACAACAACCACGCGTTCAGCAAATGTTTACTGCAGATTCTTTACAAATTTCACAACAAAAGAAAAGGCTAATATTTTTCAACTGGGCCTTCAATCAAAGAACGCTGATGAACACCGATAGATGAACGGTAGTTGAACGGACTCCTTGACTACATAGTCTCCTAAACTAGTGTCTGTTATAGATACTTAATATAAGAGATGCGCCATTTTCCAAATTACTCAATCATTTTGCAGAATCACTTTGGCTTTGGTCGAACTGGTTCAGTAGGCAATCATTGTGAATAACATGTAGTACACAGCACACATTGTCAAGCTAAAACGTATCAACACAATCAACGAGAGAAAGCCAGACAAACAATGGTTTTCCCGATGAAGGACGCACTGTGGAGTCCTACAGCACCAGCACTGTGACTAGGCCTGATTTGCTGCGAAGAATGCATAGCAACAGGGCCGGGACACAATGTACCACTATCGATATCTGTGACGTGAGGACATCAGAAAACGACTGTCACTACATTTTCGAGCCACTGTGAATTAATGCTGTGACAAAACAAGCGCGAAACAAATCTTTACAAATACTTAAATGGCCAGTTTTCGATGAAGTAGCCATGTAATCAAAGTAGACTATGAAAAGGTTGGTAAAACTCCTGATCTAAAGCGCGAAATAACGGAGCACATAGAACAAAGTGTTATCTAATCACAAAAAACCAATGTAAGAGAGAGAGAGAGAGAGAGAGAGAGAGAGAGCAAGAGAAATGTCGAAGAACGATTGCGAAAACAAAGATAGAGGAAAAGATGAGGAGACGAACAGAGGTGGCAGAGTAAGCGGAATGCGAACTGGAATTTAAGCACTAATCTAAGTGTTACGAAATGCAGGTTCGAACCTAACGCGGTATGAATTGACGGGAAACCTCATGCCTCTCAGGTGACGACCGATAAGATAGAGGCGTAATAAATTTCTCGATCTCCTGTCGTCGTTTTCTCTTCCTATCTTCGGTTTCAGGTAACAATGAAAACATTCAACAACAAACGTATAACGGTAAGTGTTCCTTCTTTGAGGCGCGCTCTTTAGCGTCTCGGTCACTTGAGATGACAAGCCATTTACGGACGTACTACTTTTCCCAAACCGGACGACAATTTTCGATAGCTAGAGGACTTTAGGGGAAGTCGACATAACATCGTTGTAGAACAGATTCTGCTCTTTCATCTAGTGGGCATGTGGGGTATACATGCTAACTACTACTTAGTTTATGCTACTATGGACCATCACACAAACACATCGCTCCCATTACTTGGAAGTGCTTTGCAAGTTATACGGTTTCCACTTTGCTAATCTTATACCTGCACATTCAATGTGATAAAGATGATTCATTGCAGTGATTAAAACTGAAATGAGAAATCACGATATTTAACGTTTTGTTTTCTGCCTTCTATAATTTTCATGGCAGGTTACTAGTTTGTGGAGTTTTGCAAATATCTCAGCAACGTTGTGGTTGTATTTCGCTTACTTAGTAACCTGCCATGAAAATTATAGAAGGCAGAAAACAAAACGTTAAATATTGTGATTTCAACTACAGCCATAGCTTAACTGGGTTCTATGCCGATTTGCGCTCCCCAGATCAACCCCGCTGACGGGTGATTGCTGTGGCAAAAAGATCGATAGAAATAGCTGAGAGACGTGCGAAACGAAGGACCCGCATGGTGTGGTGGTGAACGCGTTACTCCCCGGAAAGGATAATAGCGCGTTCGTTCCCCACCATAAACACCTGCGGTCCAGAGTTTTGCAAATATCTCAGCAACGTTGTGACTGAAATGAGAGTCAAGTGCTAGCCAAAATTACCAGTCAATGAACTCCTTTGGTACAGAGTTTTTTTTGCATATTTCTAAGGGCAAAATACAGCTTTTCCAATCGAGACCCTCCAGAAATGCTGGATAAGCTATAAATTGATCGTGAAAAATCCTAGAAATTAAGAGTATGTGGGTCAAAGTAAGCTATCATGGAGACAATGACCTTTATACAACTCATGTCGGTCAGGCGGCGCACCGCGCATGATTGTATAGAACGCACATCATATCGCATTCATTGCAGTCTGTACATAAGAAATTACAAAAAAACCCCCGTTTTCATCAACTTTCACGAGCTCATGCGGAGATCCGAAAAGTCGTCTCATTAGTTAAAGCACGTTCTTTTCAAAACTTTCAGGATACTGGTAAAGGGAAGAATATCGACTTGAAGAAAAACGTCCTAGGAAAATGATGGAAAGAAAGAAAATGACACAAAATGAGTAAAGATCTCATTTGGTAAGTAGGCATCTCAGCATTTTGCTAGTAATGTGGTTTTTTCTGCGTGACTGCGCTAACTGCCGTCGTTTTCCAACGTTCTATGCATGCCCTTCTCTTTATAAATAACTTTTCCGTAATTCTGCACTAATCTCTATCTATTGAGATGCTTAATTACTTGATACTTGAATGGCCCGTTCTCATTCATTACGCGGACCTCAGCAAAATCTCCATTTGCGGAGTTTTGCTGGTTTAGCCATTATATTTCACTGGAGTCCCGAGGTCAACCTGGACAAAGTCTGCCCCAGGTATTCACCACCACAGACAGTCGCAGCCCTTGTGAAACAGAGAGAGATTTGCCACCATGCGACTTTCATTCCAGGACGATAGTGGGTCCTGGTATTGGTTTACTTTTACTCTTAGCTAGACTTCCTCATGGAAACGCCGGACTCCTTCTCAGCTTGGAATACCCTGCGGAGGGATAGGACGAATCCCCCGCTGTACATCGCAGCCCGACATCCAGGAACACCTCCAAGCCACCATGAGGAGGTAAACCGTTGGGAAGATCTTGCAAGAGCAGCAAAAGAGATGTTACAATGTATTGGGAAGCGGACCGTTATCCGGCCCTTACTCTAGGGGCACTCGAGGCGTTAACTTCACAACTTGTTTCCGCAAATATATGCATTCATCGGACAATACCCATCGCTTTTTTCAAAGACTACCACGCGTCTCAATATGACTGGCTATTCGGTTTCTTTTTAACTGTTAATCACAGTGATCCACGGATCTCCCTCATATGAGCGATCTCAAACCAGTTAGTCGCGAGGCTACGTGGTGCGTCTCCGTGTGGCCGATAGGGACTAATCGCCGACAAAATGCCCTTCATTCAATGCATGCGCCCAAACGATAATGGCCATCACGAAACAAAGCGTCTCATGAAGATTCTTAAAAGTGCTTGCTGTCGTGCACCCCTTGGTTAGAATGTGAACTCATTTCCTGTACCATACACAATGAAAGCACCCTGAAAAACCGGAATGCCTTAAAGTGGATGACAATGCCTGTAAACTAAGAGGGTAGAGCAAAGACACCAACAAAGGTATAGACAACGGTCATTAGATTCGAATCAATACGCGAAAATTACAAAACTAATCAATTTTTGTAGACGTCCAACAGACAAGAGCACTAGAGCGAGACTTACCTCGTAAATCCTACTCTCAATGAGGTCAGAGACTGCAAATACTAGGCGATAACTTCAACGTATCATCGAAAAATATCTTGAAAGAGAAATCCAAGATTTAATTACATATTACGATACAGAAGCCTGAAAAAGAGAAGCAAAAAGGAAAGTAAGGACATTTCCCTCCAAACTGAATGCAGTTGCCCTGGACGAAAATACCGTAATAACTGTATAGTCGAAAACGCATAACTTGCTTGATGGAAATACCATGGAATCCAAATTGTTTACAGGTCCTAGGAAGAAAATCTTCTGTTACAATAACATCTTCACTCTGACAGCTATGGGTTTGTGTACAACAGTTTGTTATTAATAAAGCCAATCAATCAACAACTCATTCAATGAGAATACTAGTAATATATCTTCACATGAATGCAGTTCCAATCGATGCAACAGAGCATGGTGAATAACCTATTTTCCGCGACTCAAATCGAATTAGCAAAGGAAATAACAGCAATAAAGAAAGAATCGGAAGTAGACGACAGCATTATCGTAAGCAAAAAGGCGTAGAAAGAACGAACTGATGTGAAACGAATTCAAACAAATAACTGAAAGAGGAGTAGAGCAATGAAATTAAAGAAGAAACTACAGGCAGTCACTCAACAGTTCAGATGACGCAGAAAACCAAAAAAATACAGCAAATCGACAAAGCACGTCCCCAGCGGCTGAGACCATCATCACATATCTGTTGGCCAAGTTGCTGTCAATTCCCACTTTCAGCATCGTTTCTTTATCGCGATCACTGGACTGAATTATTCCCGCCTGACTATCGAAACTTTATGAAATAGAGCGATTTCCATTTGTCGCATTACTATCATTGGGAATTTGAAAACATTCCCAACGTGTTTTGTCGATTTGCATTAGCAACGATGTTCCAAGTCATCTGAACTTTGAATGGCTACGTGTAGTCCGTTTTACCACTATTCCACTGCTCCTCCATTTAACTTTTCGAATTTGCTTCGCACCAGTTGGTTACTTCTTTGTGCTTGGCGTAGTACTACCGTTTACTTTCGATTTCTTTCCAACTGTCTAGAGTTATTTCTCATGAATGCCAAAAAAAGTAGGCAACTTTGAAGAGGACAAGTATAGAGCACTCAGAATCTCCTGTATTTGCAGGTCGTCCTATAGACTGAACCGTTCGAGTATCTGGCTTCACGATAACTATTCGGCTTTCTCCAACTGCTACTATACCATTTCCCGTCTCCTCTCCTATACAGACACCAATATTAAACAGTTACTTATAATGCACGATTAATGTCATATTATGTTACACTTCTACATGTTATTAGCGTCATAGTTAATTGAATTTGACAATTTAAGGACTCGAATTTAAGACTGGACTACTGCTGGTCACATCAGTTGCTTGGAAAACCTAATATTGCCGATCGGTCTATCACGGTTGGAAAGTGATCTTCTTACTAATACTATTTCGCAATTCCATTGTACAGTTGGGAAATTCACAGTGAACAGCACCAATAAAGTTTCCGAACCGAAATTGGGGCAATCAGTTCCCAAACGTATGGGAGAAAGCTCTAATAAGAAACAGATGCGAAAATATTCGTTTCCATTTCCTTTAAAAGTTGTCTGCACTATAATACAAGGTATTGTGGAATAAGGGGTCTAAGTAAAAAATATATTTTTCTCATCAGCACTCATGATAGTGTTGAGTGCTGATGAATAAAAGTATTCATCAAATAAAGTCGAAAGGACGGCATTTTTCAAACCAGCACTACCGTAAGGGATTAAAAGAGTCAGATCGAGAAAATGTATAGATGGATAGTTTTTATGTAGCGAAGAGGTCTCAATTGAAGGATATAACTACTGAAAAGTGAACCTTACAAATATTTCCTGCCGTATTTTTAATATCGCAATGGTGATGGTAGTTGTTAAATCTCATTTCGAGCACGATACCGTAGAAAAACTTACAATTTGTTTTCAAATTCCCTGCTCTTTGACGGCTTCTCAGGGAAAGTTCGTTCTTCCACACCACCAGGTCTACAAACTACCGATAGTGATAAGAATAGGACAAAACACAATAGAAATGTGTAGATTTGAAGCATACCTTCCGCAGAATCTTGACCCAAAGCTGCTGAAATCAGAATGTGTTGAAGTCGATCGTGTTTCAGTCCTAAACGGAATAATAATATTAGTAACGTGAATGACCTGATCACTTTGCTAATTTTGAAGGTTTTGCAGAAATAAAAACAAGACACAGGTATGAAAACCACTCCTTGCTATGATGTGACTGTTACTATCTCATATCGACAAATAACCAGTTTTCCTAGAAAACCTTGAAAGAGACTTATATTTGGAAACAAATGACTTCGATCACAGTACATGTCGTACTTCAGAGGTGAACTGAGTGGTGGTGGACGAGGTGGAGATGTAAGTGTACTCAAAACCGCCAACGAAGGCATCGGAGGCAGATGACTGTGCCAACGCTCACCATAACTTTCCCTGAAAAATACGCGCGTCCTAAAGCAGAACAGGATTTAAACCATAGAAATAAAACCTGTTGGCACAGAAAAAAAACTAAGGTTTTGTATTCATAGCCACTCCACCTCAGGTTTTCACTCCCGGAACTGCTAGGGCGACGACCATCGTACGAATTTCGTCGTATTGAGCTCGTCGCCGACTTACAAATCGATTCCTTCAAATGAAAACCAATTAGAAACAATAAGATGGAGGGCATAAAACCGAACCCGAAAAGTTTCTACAGAATCTATAGCAGATTTGACCTGATCTAGAAAGTCTATAACATCAAATTATGAAGACACTAATGTTAATAGAACGATGGGAAAAATCTAACCCAATCGAAAAAGAAAAAAGCTGCACAAAGTGGAATTAAAGCCCAGTCTGATGTCGTCATCGCTAAAATGATCTCCACAAGCACGCAAATAAGATGAAACGGTGAAGGAAACGAAAGCGCAAAAAGAAAGTGCTATTTTCTACACAACCCAGACTTTGTTTTATGAGCTTCGCAACCACTGTTATGAGGAACAGACGAATTTAAAAGAAAAAGGAAAACATATCAGGTAGAACTCATTAAAAAGAGACAAAAGTATTAGGAGGTTACTTCACGCATGGTTACTCATTTATTTATAACTCTCGCAGTCTATTCGAGTCCCAAACTATTCGCAACATAAGGTTTAGAATTAAGGCCGCATGAACCACTTCATGGTTGTTCCCTATCTTTTGAAATTCCCTCCACGTAATTTTATTGCGTAGCATTACTATTTTACTACTAGGTGCTTGAGGAATTTTACTATGAGGCGGCGATAGCGCAGTAGTTAGTGGTGCCGTCGATCAGAAAGCAAAGGCGTTAGTTCGACCTCCGTCCCAACGCATTCCTCCTGTCCATGTCAGAATGCCTTAGTCCGGCTATATCTAAAACTGCAAGGAGAAATTACTCGATCAGCACTCTACGACATTTATACAGATGACGAAATTCTCAGGCGGCAGCGAAACAAAACGCGAAAAGCTCGAAGTCCACTGTGGACGATGAGCGCGAGGAAAACAAATCGAATGCAAGAAGTGCTGCGAATCGCACAGTAAACCTGATAACGGGTTATATAAAATAATATGCAAGAATAAAAAAACTATTATCAAGGAGGGGATGCTACCACATTCATTTCCTCAAACGGTTCGGCCGCCCCATATCGGATTCGGACTTAGGTGGAATATACTGTTGCCCTGCGGTAAAAAGTGACCACATTCCTCGAGAACCACGATCAGTACCCTAGTTCGTTAACGCGTAAGACTTCTCAATGTGTAGGAAAGAACGTTTAAAACATAGCAGCAGTTGGAGTTTTATCTAGTCTTGTTGTTTTTACCCATCACAAGCATGCATGGAAAGCCCATATGTATAGAAATCTCTCCCTAAAATATCGATTGAATGTCACTAACGTGTTTCGAACCGTTGCGCGGTTTGACTCTCAGTGGTGTGTCAAATAAGCCGATCCCATCCAGCGTCCTCACAGCGAACGGCACACTTTCCTCGTCTTCGAACGTGACCATCGCGAAGCGGTACGAGTTCCTATCGGACAGTGTAACCTTCTCAACCGGTCCAACCTGAACACTGGGTATTAACAGATTCTGCAATTGTGTGTCAACAGTAGAAAAACACTTCATGGACGGATAGACAGTAACTACGGCAACCAAAACTGTTGTTAGCATTAAAACTTCATAGGATCAACAACGATTCTTATTCACAAACAGCAGATCCTTCGAAAATTTGAAAACGCAAAGAACCCCTCGTACGCCATGATACGATCAATCTATAGCAAAGGTTCATTGGACTACGAACTGGTATGGATGTCATTCTGTGGTGCACAACAACACTGGACTTCCGTACAGTCTAAAGACCCTTCCGTTATGGGCAATTATGTGCAAATTCTGGATACAAGTGGTAGGAAACTAACCTGCGTAAATAACTCTTCTAATAATTCAGCCGTCACTGCAGACGTAAAGTTGCCAACATAACACATGCGCTCTTCATCGTCACCCATCTGAGTCAAAGCAGTTGGAAGAACATACGAAAACGTTTGAAAAGAGGTAAACGTAGTGGATAAGCAACTGCTGGGAGAGGACGATTACCACTATCTTAAAGATGGATGGGTACAAACATAACTTTTATTGAGGAAAACTTATCGCACACAATCTAGAATAAACATTGATCAACTGCACAAAGTGAAAAGCCTAAGCCAAATAGTACAGCATAATCCAAACTGAACACCTAATACTATGGATTTCTTAAGAATTTGTACATCTGGGGACTTAAGAAACACAAAGACATGACGCCACTCGATCGATGTAAAACTACACAGTTCTTTCAAAGGTACCACAAGGCATAACGTGAACATTAAAATGAGGGTCGGAAGGCCACAAAAGTGGGTCCAAGGAAAACCGTGCCCAGTTCATTCCACTCCGTATCTCAATGAATTTTTCATTTCCTGGAATACCACAACGAGATCGAACAGAAAGAAATAATTAAGTAATATGTTGATCGCCGCCAAAATAACCCACATTTTCTAGCACCTTGGGGCAACAAAGCGTCCTGACATGTCAATTCATCAGTCCTACCCAGCTTTTCGTAACTGCTCTCCATCTGAACTCGAAGTTCGTGCACTTCGTTCACATTTAAGCGGTTCATCGGCATGTTAGTCAAAGAAGACACATCCATTCCCTACAAGAAAAAAAGATTTCTTCTAAAGAAGAAAAAAGCAATAATACGCCAATACACTATAAGGACTTAGTGTGGAAAAACTCTCAGGTGTTCAAGAACTAACCTCTTCTTTCCATTTCCTCAAGGGATCGCCTCCGAAATCCATGACTCACATTTTCTTCTGAAGCTCACGTAGATATCGCTGATGAAAACGGACATCTCCGCGGACAACCAGTTCAACACAACGCGGATATAAAGAGGAGAAAATAAAGAGTAACATTCAAAACCTCACCAATAACCAAAACGATGGAAGAACTTCCATAACTTAGTGAAATTTCCACACGAATCGTTTACGAAGAAAAAAAAACCACTTACCGGGGTGATCGAAAACGAAATACTGACGATGAAGATCGACAACGAAACTCAAGTATACAAGAACCGCCCGACTGAACATTAACAAGCGCCTCGTCCAGGATTTGCAACAAATATAACCGCACACCAATCGGAACCAATCGATAATAGAACATCAATCCTCTGCAGTCTCAGAAAAACTCAATTTCGCGACGGACTCCCGAAAGTGCCGAATTTTGGTGACGACCACCGGCGACTACGGCTAATTTCTCGGCGTGCAGCGGCTGTACACTGACGCTTCGTCGAAGCTAATGTTTTTCCTCTACAATTCGGTTTTTAAATTCTGCATTTTTCGCCCATATATCAGTTTTTGATGTGCTACATATCTACTGTGTTCCTCCATGTATCCTCTGATGCTTTTGCTTTTATAATGTATCGAACTCTTGTGTGTGATGGAAGAACAAGCCTTGTCCATCACTCAACCGCACTGCTGTCAACAGTTGGAAAAGGTTTGCAAGGTATGCAAAGAGTGTTCTTGTCCTTCTAAGTGCCACAGCGTTTGGAACTGAGCAACCAGATTGTTTATTTAGGATCGAGTTGCATAGTTTCAAGCAATGTCAGTTTTTTCTTGATAAGCTATTAGGCCATAAGCTATAAGAGAGAATACATATTGATTAGTCACACCGAGGTTCAAAGAAAGTCGGTTTCGAAATATTACTACGCTTTGTACTAGCTGATAAAAACACCGACTTCTGCTCGATGTGCGCAATGATGTCCGGAAGAAATACAAGTTGTTACCACCGGACATTATCATTATACATACACCATCAGCATCGTGTATAAAAGGGCATCACTGAGTAAGGATGCCTCATTCGAGAAGATGGCTCACTGAGGAAGACCTGGCTCGACACGATGGCGAAGCTGCAACGTCGAGACGAACGACAACCATGGACCATCGACTCGGATCATCGGCTCTGCGGAAGACGAAGACGTCGAAACGTTAGCCGAAAATAAATATATTTATCAACCTCGTGCAAGCTTATCAAGAAAGAAAACATATTGATTAGTCACACCGAGGTTCAAGGAAAGTCGGTTTCAAAATGTCAGTTCTGTTTTCGACTCACTTGTTCGATTCCTTACCGGAAAGAGCATGTTAGATTTCGGAAAGGAGAACCGGTGGTGCGACATATCCATCCTTTTTATTTCATGTGGGGGCAGGAGGAAGTGGCTATTGACAAGATCCAAGTAATGGTCGTGAATGGTTTTCTCCGTTGCTTTTCTGGACGCTGTAACTGTTCTGTCAGGACGTCGGAGTGCAATCATCTTGGTCTTGTAATTGACGAAGCTTCGTTGGCCTTTGCGAATGCTTTTCCCAGCCTCTAAAGCTTTGACCATCACTGCCTCTCCTCGCTCTTTATGACCTTCTTTTATCGCCCTTCTGCATTGTATCGGAAATTCAGAGGTGAATCGACGGTTTCCTGCAGCTCGTGCGATTCCACTCTGTCGTACCATCTCGAATGATTCTGGAGACACTCTTGCAGAATTTCGAACTGCCAACCTTCATAGCGCTAATGTGAAGATATTGAGTAAAACGCTCATATTCCTCGTCGATGTTTCACTAGCGGTGTCTTCGCAACAGCCTGCAGATGATCTTAATAAACCCCAGCTTGTTGTGGGTTTGGGATCTCGTTATTTGAATTTAACGGCTTTCTCTGGTTTTCTAAAGAAAATGTGAATCTTTCGCAAAGGAGGCGATGGTCTGATCCTTTATAGAATTTTATAACACCAGCAACAGAGACTGCGCAAAACCTTCGTTTTAGTTTACTGCATTCTATTTCGTTATCGTATTCCCCATTGATAGACTCCCACGTCCAGAGTTGAAAGTGTGGCTTTTGCATTTGTGGTTCACCACTGGTGGTCTTGATCGTCATGGTAAGCTCAGTCAACCGCTCATCCTGCTCGTTCCATTGTAAGCCGTGGGTCCCAATGTGACGTTCTTCAGACATTCTTCTGAGTTCAGCATTATCGTCGAATGTCCACATGGAACACGTTTACTTTATTTTCGTCCTAACTTGATGTCGGTGCGTAGACAACGGAGATTGTCTCAGCCGGTATTGATCCACAGTTCTGCAACTATAGGCGTCCGATTCGGGTTGTTTGTTCTTCGAATGATTCGATGTTCATGGACATACTCTTGTTGACGAGACCCCGCGCTTTCTATTCCTCTATTATGTTCGCGTATTCTGAGGAACAGATCTTTTCTAGTACTACAGATGGCATTAAATGGTGGGCACCTTCTCGCCTCAGCCAATCCGATGACGTCGTACCTTGTCATACGTGCCTACATGAACAAGTCTTCTATGCATGGTTTAGATGCGAGCTAGCGTACATTGTAGTTACAGATCATCCCCATAGTTTCTCAAGGTTTTACCAGCATTTCTGTACTCATCCTAACCAACATTGCTGTATCGGAGCTCATTCGTGGTCAGGGGTATGAGGCCCACTTACTTTACAGTATTTAGCTGTTGGTGGTCACTTATAGCATGTTGAGCCCTTAACGTGATGATTGGATATATTCTCGGGCAGCTTGCCGGTTCCTGTCGGGGTGGACGTGGAGCTCATTCGCTGGAGGCAACTCCTAATCACCTCGCATGTACTGCCCAGTCACTGGATTGCAGGTTTTTGGCCGAATTAACACGTAGAATACAGTCCTACAGTCCACATAAACGAGGATACAGCCACGCAAGCATGCATTAATACGCCCTCGCAAACACAGAAAGGATGTCAGAAATCCGCACAACAGAAACAGGGCTTCCATCCCTTAGATCCGTCCGCGTGTAAAGGAACACAAGATCACTTTTGGATAACCGTTAGCCCCTTATCTGCGGCATGGTGATGCTCCACATGGCCGCACGGCTAACCGATATGAGATTCTTCCGAGAGAGATACGTAAATCCATTTCCTACATATAAAAATCATCAAATTTACGTTTTAAGCGAATGTTTTTAGTGTTGTTTTCCATGTTCATTGTACGGCCAATGCACACGTGGGTGGTCTCTGAGATCAGAGAGCCCGTCCAGTTCGATTTGTTCCCCTTGCACCATGAGTTCTTCATAAATTGGGTTCTCGAATTTCATAAATTCATCCACACTACGATCACTACGATTTTTTGCACGGCTTCTTTAATTAACTTAGCATAGTTTCTGCTTCACTGTTACTTCATGAAAAATGACGCTCTGGTCCTGAAAACGAAGATCTGATAGGATTTTTCCATCAGTACGCAGAAACAGTTCTCTTTCCAAAGCTTTGGTGGTATTTTGTCCACTTATCGAACCCCTTTTCTTATGGATATGATGAGGGATCAATGAAAAGGATATATATTTGTGCTGCGGTTTCGATAATGGTTAGCTATTTTTAATATATAGGAAGAGTCCCTTCCTCGGACGACGTACTGTGATAGAATTGCATTCGTTTCGACTCTTCCAAGCCCTTTTCCATAATCGGCAACTTTTACGACGCAGATGCAACAAAATTCCAGCGGGAATACTGTTTGCTTCTTCCATTCCTGAAATAGGCAAAAAGGATAATATGTACTCTTTCTTTGATGAGCTTACACGAGATTGATAATGATGTTTATTTTCCGCTAACGTTTCGACGTCTTCGTCTTACTCAGAGCCAATGATCCGAGTCGATGGTCCTCGCTTGTTATTCGTCTTGTTCAGTGAGCCATCTCCTCGAATGAGACATCCTTACTCAGTGATGCCCTTTCATACACGATGCTGATGGTGGATATAATGATAATGTCCGGTGATAACAACTTGTTTTTCTTCCGGACATAAAAGGAAAATCTTCGCGGAGAGCTTGCAGAGTACCTTCAACAAGCACATTGGACAATACTTATGAAGATCCCTTCAGTCTCTGTAGCAGGGTTAAATTCCGGGCTACTTTTTTACAGCGGAAATTTTGGAGTCTGAGACGTGGATTATCGAAGCTTACTAATTCCATACCATGGCGCAATTGTGATAGTCCAATCATCGTTGGTCGGGGTGGTTGGTGAAACATTACAGATGCGCAAGTTCCTGCTACACGCCTTCAGAATAGATCGTTTTTGAGCTGCTTCCTACGACTTTTTCTGCCTATAAAAGTTTCTATAGGATAGCCGATTGGATGGTCATACCAACCTCATGTTATCTCAGTCATGTCGAAAATCGTTTTCGACAACACTTGACAACCGATCTTCGCTTAGGATTGCTCTGTCACATTCTGAATCACATAGAATAAACTGGTAGTGTGGCTCGCATTTACTTCAATGCACCTCGTCTTATTTAACAGATGGCTTTCAGTTTTTATTTCTATTCTTTTTTTCTTATGTTATTCAGCCTGTGTTTACTGAATGGCCTATCTCATGACTCACTAGCGTCATACATGTGTTCTCCTAAATCCATTTGTGTTAAAGGCAGTGCATAGGACGCTTTACGTATTCTCTTCAAGAGGGGAATTAGTCGTTACCGGTTTTTGTTGCTGCGAGTTCCTTATCCGTGTTTTCTTACCCGCTCTAATGTAGTTTGGCAGCTGTTTTCAGGTATTACGCTTCGCTATTGCTTTTGTCTTTCACTATTCCTTGTGAATAGTAAGGGTTTTTCCTCGTATGGGCGTTCCCTGAATGGTTAGTCTCGATGATAAATAATGCTTTCCCAGGCACCTTATACGGATTGAACCCGAAATAAAACGACAGCTAACTAATTGCCGTTTTACGGCCTTCGACACCAATTTCTTCCTCGGGAATTTTCCCCTCTATAAATCACAATGGTTCTC